CAAATTTTGGCAAATAATCAAAAAATATCTGACATTGATAATGCATTTTATAATTGTATTATGCAAATGCAATCCACATGTGACACCACACGCGCATAGGCATGCACTTTTGTCGCGCACCATAAATAGGACGGAGATCTACGACATGGTCTACCACGTGCGATCAGTGGCGGAGCTAGGCGACTGAACCAGGGTGGGCCAAGAATGCTACTGTACAAATAATACATTGCTTTTTTTTAAAAAAAAATCTTTCTCCTATGATATAAAACCTATTTCCAAATCTCAGGGTGGGCCATGGCCCACCCTGACCACCCTCTACCTCTACCACTGCGTGTGGCGGTTATTACTAAGGTGTTAGAGCCACGTGTGGCGGGGGTGCGCTATTACCGTGGAATGTGTGATCTTCCGACACATTCCATATACAACTTAAATTCGACCCTACGGTAATTATTTGGCTTTACTCATATCTTACAACACTCTCAATGGTAATGGTTTGTCTATAGTATCACTTTCCAATTAAAGAATACTCATAGATACGGTGTTGGAATTAAATAAGAAAACGTATTATGAGGATAATAAATCTTGTATAATAGAGAAACATAATTGTCCCTTTAAAAGTGAAATTTTCGCCATAAGTGGGGTTCCGGTGTAGATGACATATGTGTTCTGGTCTAACTTTGTTAATTGATGGCATATAAGGTATGCTACTACATAAGGCGGCTAAAATTTGTGTTTTGACCCTTTTCAAAAAGTTTAATTGGATCTGACCCCGGTTTGATTTTTTATTTACATTTGACCCTTTTCCTACCGCCAGGGACCTCGACGGTAGAGTTGCGTAGCCTACCGCCAGAACCTTTGGCAGTAGAGTAACGGTAGACGTCGTCTCACCGACGCTGATCTGGCAGATGGCCTATCGCCGACGGCTTTGGCGGTGGGAGGTGTAACCCTACCGTCGAGATCCCTGACGGTAGGGTGTCCAACCCTACCGAAAAATTTCAGCCACTTCTGGTTTTCAGTATGAGTGAGGCAACCTACTGCAAGACAAAACCCAAAAGTCGGGCTTTCGTGTAAAACGGTGCGTACCGGTCGTCGTACTCCACCCTAATGGTCGTCTTGTGACCCCTCATCCGCAGTGGCGGAAGCATCTGGCAAAATGAAGAACCATATAATTACCAACTTGTTTTCATCAATTCGAAAGATTTGGTTCAAGAATGGTAATTACCACTACATTCTCAATGAAACGGACACGATGACCCTTATCGAACACAAGGTCAAGCATGGTATAGTTAGTGTCGATGTTGCCTGCAAGAGGCGGCCTCCTAAATAAAATTGCATAAACATAAGCATAAGCATAATTAAAATAGCATAACCATAATTCAACACACATTTGTAACAATTTTTATTCATTCATTTGTAAACATGATTCTCATAAGCATGATTCATTCATTCATTCATTCTGCATAAGATTGTTTTAACATTATTCATTCATTTTGTACAATGTTTATGCATATGGTTGATCACAAAGGTTCATCGCATCATGTAGTTCACTCCTTCAATATCATGTAGTTCATTCGTTCAGTAAGCATATGAGTTCTTTCCTTCAATAAGCATATCAAGATTTTTTTAAACATGAACATGAACTAGGATACATATAGATGCATCACAAAGGTTCATATGGTTGAGATGCATCACAAAGGTTCATCACATAAAAAAACCTATGATTTTAATCCTTCAATAAGCATATGAAGATTTTTTTTAACATGAACATGAACTAGGGGGTTCATCATGTAGTTCAAAAAAAAGTAAATACATATCAAGATTCATCACAAAGGTTCATATGGCACACATATCAATGTTCATCACATCAAAACAAACCTATGAGTTCATTCCTTCAATAAGCAGCATATCAAGAATTTTTTAACATGAACTAGGGTGGGCTTGAATCAAATAATGCATCGAATCGGAAGCTATTTAAGAAAACCTAATTGGATGGATCGAAGGAGCTTACTTTACTCGTTTCGGAGCCATCTCGATCCACAGGAATGATGAAGAAACGAGAGAGATCCGAGGGGGACAGTGGATGGGACGAGAAAGAGGGGAAGAACAGAGAGGGCGGCTGGGTGGGGAGAGATGGGGAGGGGGAGGGCGAACCAGCGCCAGGTTATATGTGCCTCGATCCTACAACCAAACAGTTCGGCGGTAGGGTCTCACATCTTACCACCAGACCCTGTGGCGGTAGGGTCGACCAGAGCTCACGGCGGCCGTCAGTTAGCTGCTGACGTGTGTTAGTCGGCTACCGCTGCGGATTATGGCGGTAGGATATGCATACCTACTGCCAATCTCTGTGGCGGTAAGAAAAAGGTCAAATTTCAAAACAAATAAATCGAACCGGAGTCAGATCTTGTTAAACTAATTGAAAATGGTCAAAACAGGAAGTTTGACCACATAAGGCCCAAGAGAGAAGAAAGGTAGCATGCCCCATATATACATCTTTTACCTTTGCTTTTGAGCATATGGAGGCCACACCATTTTTTTGGCACAGTACAGACGCAAAAAGTTGCACCATTAAGAGGGGTGACAGTGATGAACTCGGGGTGGTAACTTGATTGCTTACACCAATTGCACATCCTATCAGTTATATTCATGTTCCACGATAAAGTCCTCGTGGAAATACGGTTGTAAAACATCATTCAGAGACATTTCTGTGTGGTCCAAACTTTTGAGTTGTGTTTCGGGGCATCCGAAATTCGGACAATGGTCTAGTTTCCGATGGAAGGCCAGAGAGTCCAACGTTACATAGTGACATCACTCAAATTTATTTTTTTCCTTCTCCTTTTATATTTTTATTAAATGAATATATTTAAAATCTAAATCTACTTAAGAAATTTTAAACCATAAATTTAAAAAATTGTTAACTAAGCCTATCTCAGATGATTAGGTTCTTTGTCATGGAAATAGCCCATCGGGGTTCAAGTCCTAGACGACACTGGTGGTTATATTTCCCTGGATTTATTTTAGACTACCTGTCAATCTTCATTCAGTGGGAAGAGATGCTCCTATCGATTACGGAGGCGCCTGTGATGACTTCATCAATCTTGTGCCAGTTTAATCTCTCGGAGGTGCTCATAGTGGTAGGGTGTGCATGCGTGCATTCATATAGGTGAGTGTATATGCGTATGCATGAATATTTGCATCTATACTCTATTAAAAAACATAGTATAAAAATTTGTCAGCACGATTTAAAAAAATGTTGATAACTTTAGAAACAAATGTTCTGTGACAATGAAAAAATGTGTCTACAATGTAAATTCAAGTGATTTCTAGCATACTACCCCTCTACTTCTTCTATTTTTTTAGACAACCTCGTGAAGCTTTTTATTATGCCATCACAATGTTTACAGGGACGAAAGAAAGGTCACCCGGATTGCCTAACCACACACAGCGGCCAATCCCAAGTGAAAAAGCATGCTTCGCTAAGTTGTGAGCCTCGAAATTCAAGCTCCTAAATTCATGATTGAAAGAACACAAAGAAAAAGTTTTAGAGTTATCTATAATCTCATGAATAACAACACCATAAGTAGCTGCACTGTCCTTCTTGATATCCTCGATAACCACCTTGCAATCCGAAGAGACAACAATCGCCCGCTCATAAAGATCATCAGCCAATGCTAGTGACTCCCAAACTGCAATTGCCTCCAGAGTTGTAGGGTCCACAATTCCCATAAGAGTAAAAATGGATGCACCCAAAAACAAGCCCTGATGATCCCTACAAACTGCTACAACTGCTCCTACATCATTTCTTTTGTTAAGCGCCGCATCTACATTGATCTTAACCATGTTCTCTAGAGGGGGGTCCAGTGATTCGGTCGGGTCTGCTCCTCCCTTGGTTCACTTGTTGGCTTCTGTAGCACCTGAAGGTCACTTATAAAGGAGTTTACAAAAGCATTTGTGGCAAAAGGAGTCTGATGTATATCCTCGTGAATCACTTTCCTTCTAGCATACCAAATTGCCTAAAGTGTGATGCCCACCCTTGTAAACTCATCATGAGATAGAAGATTTTGCATGTTGAACAACCAACTTCTAGCACTTGTGTTTTCATCCCAGCTCATCTGCTCCACTATGGAATCCGACGCCAATTCCCATACTGACCGCACCATGGAACACTCGAGAAGCCTGTGTCGCCAAGAGTCCGCCGAGCCGCACAACCGGCACGCCGACGTAGTGGCTATATTGCGGTGGTGGAGGAGATCCTTGGTAGGGATTGATTCTGTAAGCATCTAGTGCCCCTTATTGATTTTGGTGTATTGAAGACTTATAGGTTAAGGGACTAATATGTTTGTGAGTGTACACATGCTCTATAAGTTGATGAGGAGTTTGATATTTACGATGAAAGTCAACCCCTAAAAATGTATATCTTCAGCTGAAGACTTTGGTTCTCCTGAAGATTTTGAAAGTGAATAAATTGGTGTGACCTTGAGGACTTGGATATTCATTGTCACATCCCTAGCTTCTAGCAATGCACTAGTGCTAGTCTTTGGTGATGCATCATGTTTACTTTTACAGAAAGTTGAAATGGGGATTGCTCAAACCCTAGCACCAGATCAAATCAACTAGGTTCAAATAAA